GAAGCTATCAAGTGCACGACAAAGAGGAGTGCAGGTAGTGATAAAAGCCAATTTCCAAGCAGAAGTGTAAATTTTCCAACGCACCTGGTATGGGAGATGAAGCGCGACCTCCAAAATTAATGTTTGGTACAGCGTGAAAACGTTTCCCGCACTCACATTAACCGCCTGCGCATTGAATAATGGGGCTAGGTTCGGCTGCAGTTCCGGAGGAGCCGCAGACAATTGCTGCACGTACTGTCGAGAAGATATCGTTTCTGTCGCCCATTCTTTTTTGAGCGATTCCAAAACAGAGTAGCACCATTCAACTGCACCAGCAGATACCTGAAATTTTTCAATTCCAATATTTTAAGCACAGAATTTATTTCGAACATGAAAATCTAGAAAAAAAAAGAACCCTCGGAAAACTGAAACGCTCAATGCACCACGACTCACTGCCCACTCAGAACAGAAGAACAGCATGAAATTTGTTTTTCACACCAATTCTCGGAATACTTTTGCCAAAATGGTTGTATTAGAGGATACGGTTAAAGCGTCGTGAAAAGACGTACACAGCAAAATGGGCTCAATCGCCTTTCTTTGTTCACTCTTTTAACAAATTCAAAACCATATCCTAACGATTCAAGTATCGAATGGCATAACTTCGCACTTACGTAAACAATTTGGACCCAAACGTCTTAAACGACTTAATGGACCAAAACGTCTTATCTCCCTCTCACCACCATCCTTCATTACGCTCTCTTGCATTTGCGCATCCCACCATCTGCACTTTTAGGGTTGACCTGAAAGCTGCAATCTACTTGGACCTAAAAAAATGCAGTTAAAATGAGATGAAATCCCTCCATTCCTTCTCTTCTGTCTTAATTGTACAGTCCGCTTCTGTCTTAACTGTTCTGTCTTAATTGTATCTCCATTCATTCCCTTAAATCCCTCCATTCTTTGACTTCTCTTCTGTCTTAATTGTAAAATGAGAATTCTTTTAATGTGGAAATGCGGTGCCGGCAGCGTACGCCCATCGGGATGTATAAGATCGCGTTTCACTGTTCGGCTGCCAGAAATTTAAGTCTTCTTCTATGCCAAAATGCTGATGATCTTCGAAAATTTGAAAATGCTTACCAGGATATCAGCAGTTTTCAAAGCCAGAACGATTTGTGGCAGATAGGTCAACGGCGCAGTCGCATCATGTTCTTCACTTTTCAAATTACTGGGACTTGCCGTGGATGTCCCCGTGTCCCCCTGTCGCGAAGCTAAACCTTGCTGCGGTGTTGCGTCTCGGCTAGACGATGCCTCCTCACCGGTACCCGATTCAGCAACTTCTGCTTGTTCCAGATCAGATTCCTCATCCGGCTCAGCGTCGCCCTCGTCTGCATCCGCAATTTCTGGATCACCGCCCTCAGCAACCCCTTCATCTGCTCCATTATCTCCCTCATTCGCTTCAAGCTCATGCGCTTCCAGATTAGCACCATCACCACCACTACTAGACGGTGGTGCATCATCTGCATTCGTTTTAGCCACGGCAGCCTGTAAAACCAATTATTTTGGATAAAATTCTGCAAATAATTACCAGTGAAAATTCAACAGAATTCCGACTCATATCAATCCATGAACTCAAATACTGCCACTAAATAATGAATTTGATATGTGTTTAAAACATAAAATTTTACTGCCCCTTTGTCCCCAATTACAACAAAAAAAAAGCGCTAGAACATTATTCATTTCTGAATGCAGTAACAAGCGAAAGCATCTAAATAGTTTTTGCTGCGTTGCTCCTTATGTTAAAGATCGAAGATCAACTTATTTTTTTAGGGGGCTGCACTGATGATTCCCACCCCAATCCAAACCGTATACTATCTGTGTTTGCAGCTTAGGGATGAAACACAGAGAGCCAATTTCACATTCAGCTTCCTTACATGCCCTCCTTACATCTTCTTAATTTTGTATAATACACATATGCGATTTACAATCCATTTCATTTCCTCTTTTCCTGGTCTCACGACGATCCATTTGTTCCATTCATTCATTCCCCAGCAGTACGACACTCTTTTACGATTCGTTCATTCGTTGGTAAATTGGTACTGCGCGGTACCGTGGTGTTAAATCAGCTATCAGTTTGCTTATAAACACGAGGAAGCCATCGTCTTTGCCACCCCATGGCTGCTGCTAGCAAATGCTTCACAAAAGCTTTCAAATGAGTCTGTTCTACTCCACCCGCACCTCTTTCAGACCCCTAACCCCTATTCATTTGTGACAGTTGTTCCATTCCGCCCGTTAAAAATCAAACCCAACAACGTAATTCGCTCTCAATATGTAGCGGCGGTATCCGAAGCTAAGCTGTGTGCCCGCATTTTGCCCACAAATTTTCACTCTCCTCAAAATTCCATTTAATCCCTCTTTCGGCTGTTAAGAATTAAGCGACTCTGACTGCGGAAAAAAGTTAATACCAATTTACCAGTGAATTAAATCGCAAGTCAGAGAGAACCGATATTTTCAGTGGTAAATTCCAAAAATCGATTCGATGCCTCTCATTACACCAGCCCAAAAGCATCACAATGAAAAGAATTTTAAAACCATTTACCCCACAACTACTGCGCTTTTCCTGCAGGACTGTGTCAGCCTTCGTTTCGCTCGCTTTTTTCGCACTCTTGCGTTGCCAACTATGCGATGCACACTGAACAAAAACCACATAAATTAAACGCATTATGATTTGACGACGTTCGCTTATCGGAGTTTTTCCCAGTTCCACATCACTGAAATTCGCAGCACTGGCCAAGTGTTCGATCTGAAACGTCAAATTATAAAACCACAATTCAAAATATTTCAAAAATTTCCAAAAATTTCGAACTAAAGCACCTAGCTGTGGCATGGTAATCAAATAAAACAGAAAACTGGAAAGGAGACGGATGCAAAGAAGTGGGAAGGGCGGGGGTGCGAGAAGGAGGGGG